ACTTAGTTAATACAGAGTTAAAATTGCCCAGTGACCGCTCGTGCCATTCCAGAATGATGAGTTCAGCAGAAGTCAAAAAAACAGGAAATACAGAGTTAAGGTAAATGCCCACACAACTTTTAACTCTGCCTTTTTTGAGCAATGCCGCAGAACACTTATGACACACATACTCGTACTTTGTCTTTTCAGTGTAATAGACAGGTGCTACCTGCATGTGGCCTATGCTCAAACGTCAGCAGCACAGCAGACTCAGAGCGGTATGAAGTATCCCATTCCTTTCAATGAGAAGTTCTGAGCAGAAAGAAAATATACAATGGAGATGAATATAGCCTGAAACAATAGCACTGAGATGTGTGAATTGTTCCATTCATCCCAGCGGGTGTTTCCATCCTGCCTCCCCAGTGCTGAAGAGTTTCTGATATGCATCAAGTATAACTATTCTCAGCTCAGCCCAGTGTCAGCAGTGTGTTCTTGGTGCATGTTCTCAGGATGCCAGTTCTAAGCTCCCTGCCCACAGAGGCAGGGGTTTGTTCTCCATATCCTGGCTCACAAGGGTGGGGTGGTAGGAAGATGGGCTCAGACCTGATGATAGGGACAAGGCACTCAGATTCCAATTTACATAAGGAGGGCAAGAAGGGGAGGTGGGGCTCAGAGCCTCTATAACAGTGGTTCTCAACTGATTACACATTGTGTTACCATACCTGGGCCGCAGGGGCTGGGTGGCAGAGAAGCGGCAGCCCTGACCCCTGCTGTGCAGGGAGGCTGGCAGACCGCCCTGGACCCCGGACCCCGCAGGGCTGGCTGGCTGCCCCAGACCCCTGCCTCACGGCTGCCCCAGACCTCGCAGGGCCAAGCAGATGCCCCAGACCACAGAGCTTGCGGGGCTGGGTGGTTGCCCCGGACCCAGACCCTGGAGCTTGCAGGGCTGGGTGGCTGTCCTGGACCCCACCATATGGGACCAGCCTGCAGCCCCAACCTCAGCCACACGTGCTGGACCCTGACAGCTGCTCCAGACCCTGACCCCCGCAAAGCGGGCCGGCAACCCACACCCTGCTCCACTCCTGAGCTCATTTGTTAGGTACAATTTCTGCATAAGATTTTTCTTTATTTGCGATTTAAGAATTTGTTGCCATTGAATTTCTGGTAGCATAACAGTTATTTCTAGAAAATACAAGCTTGAATGAATAAAGTCATGCATTATTCCATGGTTCATTAAAGTACGTATCCTACCATTCTTTTTAAAACCAGGGTCTATCTTAAATTAAGGGTGAAAAACGTCAGTGAAGCAGGAACCCACTGTGTCTATTTTATGCTACTAATTTTTTCCCCTTTCAGTTTATAAGACGTTTAGAATCATAAAAATGGGTCAGTCTGCTGCAGTAGATTAGGAACAATTTATTTAGCATATAAGGATTATGGTCACCTTTAACATTTTAATTTTAATAGTAAAAATAATCCCATTCTTTTGGCAGTCACGTGAGTGACTTTTTTGTGGTATATTAATAGAGAAATAAGGAACTTTATGAGAATTCATCTATAGAAAAGGTGGAACAAATGTATCATTTACTCTCTGTGGACTCTGACTAGGAGAACACATTTATATGCTAGGAACCATGTAATGTGCAGATCATTTGAACGTAAATATCTCATTAACACACTATCCACTACTAACTCTCTCAAATTTCAGGCCACCTGCAATCCTGAGTGCAAAGAAAGAAAGATGAATTCCCTTTTCATTGCCGAAGCCTCATCCAACTTCTGAGTGCCAACACCCTCCCCACTTCCCCCGCTCCAACCTCTCTACATATCTGTCTGGATTAAACTTCAACAATGCGCTATCCAGCTGCCAAAATGTCCAGCTTTCCTCGAAGGTCTACATTAACTATTAATATAAAAACCTCTGCTGCTCAAAATATTTGGGGGCAGCGTAAACATTTGTAGGTTAATACCAACATAAACAACACTGCAATGATTGCAACGATTGCTTTATTCATGTTCATATTTAATCTACCACAGTCCTCCAGATTTTAATCTACCTGAACCTGTGGCAGAATTTCCAGTTTGCTGTATCACGGTGCAGCAGAAACAAACAGAGTTCTGTGGCCTGTATAGCTTATACCAGTTCTCAGAATGATATTAGCCATACTGGCAAAAGGAATTTTTTTGTCAATATAACTGTCTACACTGGAGCTTTTGCCGGCATAGCCGTGTCTGTTAAAGGTGTGATTCTTTCTCACTCCTAACCAACATAGATATGCCAGCAAAACTTTTAAGTGTAGACCAGGCCACTATGGGGCATGCTACTTTCCAACCAGGGGATTTCCAGGAGGAATGTTGCAGAATTAACTCTCTAATTGGTTTCTAACCTCTATCGAGCTATACCGACAGTATACAGCTATACTACAGTTTGTGACTCCATTGCAAGTCATGTTAATTGTCAGTTAACTTGAGTTGGCTGAAATGTGCGCTAATCTAGACACTCCACAAATATTAATTCCAGGACATAAAGGTTTGTGGTTTACCCTAAGCAGAGTCCTAGATGGGGCACTGTCAAAACATAGGATTTCTCTGGACCATTATCAGATCAGAGTAGGTTGGTGGGTAACTAAAAGTTTTACCTGAAGTTAGTCTGTATTTCAATAACTGTACACTGCTATTTTACACACAATGTTCCAGTTAAAAGATCTTTCACTATGCTCATTCTCTTTATTTTTTTAATTCAAAGAAGATGTTTCCACCTGTTGGGTCCCATTTGACTTAAAATACCTAAAGTACATGATCTCAGCTATAAACTAAGGCTGATCTCAGTTAACAAGAGCATCTAAGAGCAGAGATACAAGTTGAATTAGAGCATGTAATAGTCTTTTAAAATCTTCCAGTATAAAGCCCCCCTTCACACTTTAATGCTCCAAGGGCAGTAATGGCTCAAAGTTATAACTTATTGGTAAAGAAGTTTCACCTTTTAGCTAATTAAATAATCTATTGCTTTTATATACAGAATGGGAGTTTTCATTAGGATTTGAAAACTTTAAATTTGTTTGTGATGTGTTATGTTCCCAGTTTTACCAATGAGTTTTACAAAAATTACTAATCTGAAAAAAAAATCTGACTCAAAACAAGTATGCAACTGTAACAGATTAAAAAAATTATGTTATTTATGGGCAATACAGAAACAAAGAACTTCAGTTTTACAGTGTAAATGTTCAGATAATTTGGTGGATTAGTTAAGCATTGGAAGAAGGTGAAAAAAGAAGGGGATGGTTATGCATGTTTAATAAATTATATTGTTATAATGGTTCTCAGCTAAATACTGTATTATTCATCTACTATTGCTGGTTCCTTCTGGAAGGTGTTTTCCATGTGATGACAGTGGGATATAAGGTAGACATTATTTGATTAGGAACTATACCACTGTGTGCCCCCTCTTATAGATAGTTTACACAAGAAGGACTGGACCTTATACTTGGTCACAAGTAAAAGTATGTTCTAGCTGGACTTCAAATGCTTTTTTGCTTTTTTAAAGAGAATCTGCACTGAAGTTATTTTAAATCTCTGACTCAGCTTTGAGGGATTCAGAAGTAGAAGGCAAAAGTCAGCATTGGGTCAAAGACAGGAGAAGAAACTAGATTTTTACATATATTTATGAAAATTCAGAGATCTATCCCAAACTGAAATTGAACTGTCAAATTTATTTCCTTCAATATGATGAACCCTGTGGGCCCCTTTCTAATGCTCACCAATAGCTCCCTCCTTGTCTTGGATGCTGGAGAAGAAATTATAAGTATTGTAAGAGTACATGGCAGCTCACAGCCCAATGCATACAGAGTTCCTGCCCAGTAGAGCTTATGATCTTTGTGGTTCAGATATTAAGGTTTCCAAAAATTGCCAGGCTAGCGTTATTTCTTCTTTTCCTCTCTCCACTTGTGGCTCCTAAGAGGGGGCTGCTTCTCATGTTTCACTAAGCCTCAGACCAATAAGACCAAGACAATCTCTGACTAAATCTGTACTGAGGACTCCATAAGAGCAGGAAATGACTAATGCCAAAAGGTTGAGAATTACTGATACTACAGTAAAAAGAAAAGGAGTACTTGTGGCACCTTAGAGACTAACCAATTTATTTGAGCATAAGCTTTCGTGAGCTACAGCTCACTTCATCGTATGCATCCGATGAAGTGAGCTGTAGCTCACGAAAGCTTATGCTCAAATAAATTGGTTAGTCTCTAAGGTGCCACAAGTACTCCTTTTCTTTTTGCGAATACAGACTAACACGGCTGTTACTCTGAAACCTGATACTACAGTGATCTTGGTTCTTCTGTTCCCATTGGAATGAGACTGTCTGCACATCCCTACTTTCAGCAACAATTTTCCTATCTGCTGTAAAATATACAAAAATATACAGCATCCCAAGTCCCAGCATCATGGCTAAAAGTCCTATCAAAGTGACCCCCCAAAGGTTGCAAGTCCATCCCTGTTGCAGGTCTGGAGGATAAAAAGATACTCACCCCAAACTTTGATTTCTGATCACTAAAAGCAGCATTTAGCAAATTGATAAGATTTTTATAACGAAGCCTAAAAAGTTGAAAGCAACCATTTGCTGAATGCACTCAATCACGACAAATTATGTAGAATACAATGTAGGAAATAAGTAAAGTAGAAGGGAACACACACATTAGATCTGAATGTTATCTTAGTCAATTAGTGATGTTCAGAGCCTGTGGATCTGTTAAAATAGCCTGAAAAATGCCAATAGGAAGTAAATTTCAGCATATTTTTCCTTACACCTAACAGAGGACAAGCACAAAATCCCAAATCCCTCTTTTTCCACTAACAGCTGCAAGTCAAAAATCTTCTCATGACAGGAGGGAAAACATGATTTTAGTGCACTTTTTATCTGTCAGAAAAGCCTTGCTGAACAGCTTCAAGTCTGAACATCCTGTTTTAATGGTATTCTACCACCAGGAAAAAAAAAAAAATCCAGCAAGCTCACAAGTGTTTAATACCTTTATCAAGAGAAGCTCCAGCCATGTGGTAAAAGCTCAAAGCTGTGTCCACATCATTTATATTCTTCAGAAAAGTAAAAAAGCTTTCCACCTCCTCAAACGTCAGCCCCTGCAATAGAAGGAACACATTTTTTTTAATGGTTAAAGTAAGGAGACAAATAATGAAATAATTTTGATAGGAAAAGGCCCCAATGACAGCAAAGATGATAAGTATGTCCAAATAGGAATTCATGTATGACTCGCCATAGTGCATTATATTAAATCATTATTTGGGATTATATACAATTTAAAATCTACACTTGCGGTAACTGAAAAGTCAACTAGCTACCGACATTCTTATTTCCTCCCTTAATTGAAATTTTTCTTTCTGCAGTACACCCTATTACAGTCCCATTGTCTCCTTACCATGAAGTTAATGCCATCTGAAGGGGATAGGCTTAATACAGATATTGTAGGTTTCAGAGTAGCAGCTGTGTTAGTCTGTATAAATTGGTTAGTCTCTAAGGTGCCACAAGTACTCCTTTTCTTTTTACAGATATTGTAGGTTTCCCTGTGCCTAGCCATTATTTGTTCCTGATCACCATTATGGACCTGATTCTCATTTACAGCACTCAGATAATATAAAAGGCCTTAGTGTATATAAGAATTAGGCTTGGTGTGTGGAAGGGTCAGTGGTGATAGCGAAGTTGAAACAAAAACCACCATCATTCTCCCTGCTGTCAACCACTTGCCCAATAATGCGATCACATAGCCAGTGCACAATCAAGATCCAGGAACTTGCTGCAAGCATATCAGTTTATAACCCTTATGGCCTTCAAACTTGCAGTAAGGAGATCAGATGGTTGACACTCTAAAAATAGAGCCTTAAGGACAAATTCAGAGGTCTCAGCAGTGTAAGTAAAACTCCCCTAGCACTTCAAGTCACTTAGGGTATGTCGACACAGCAAAGAAAAAACCCTGGTGCCAAGTCTCAGAGCCCAGTTCAATTGGTTTGGGCTTGCGGACTCAGGCTGCAGGGCTAAAAATAGCAGTGTAGACATTCAGTCTTGGGCTGGAACCTGGGTTCTGAAACCTGGGAAGGGGGAGGGTCTTGGAGCCCAAGCTCCAGCCTGAGCAGGAACACCTACGCTGCTATTTTTAGTTCCACAGCCCGAGCCCCATAAGCCCAAGTCTATTGACCTGGGCTCTGAGACTCAGCACCATGGGTTTTTCTTTGCAGTGGAAACATACGTTTAGACTCCCTTACATATAATCAGAGGGGGTGTACATTAGTGAAAATTACATGCTGAGACAGAGAGCAGGAAAGCGAAAGTAGTCTCATCATACTTTAACTTTCTTCTGGCTCTTTGGTATGTAAATTAAATCAGGTGATATTCTCTACATGTTGACAGAGTGAGTGTGTCAGGTCTAAGGCATGACTCACATTGAGAATTTTGGAAATTCTCCCACAATTGCTCTAGCCTTAAGGCAACTCCACTGGGGCTAGCACCCAGGTAAATACTAGTTTAGAGTAGTTACTTGTCTTTTTACCACTGTGTCTAGATTTGTTCAGAGTTGGAGGACATAGTGAGGTGATAAAAATGCCCAAGCCCTATCTATATTAGCCCTTATATTATTTATTGCTAGCACCAGTGAAACTGCATCAATGATAGAACAACAGCAGGAGAGTCTCAAAAACTTAAGAGTGTAACAGCCTAAGTGAACCTAAATGAGCACAGGTCTGACAGTAACGGATTCTATACTTCAATACCTTACCCATCACCTCTGAATTTGGCTCTTCACATGATGAATCACCATGCCAGCCTAAATTCAAGTTTCCTCTCTATTCTACCCAGCAAGAGACAGAATGCTAAAAATGGGGTACCTATAAAAATAAATATATTTTCACTGTTATGATGAAGATGAAAATGTTGAAATGAGCACATTCAACTGGTGAATCCAAATTAAGCTGTAAAATCTGTATTAACACTGTCTAAAATGTCTTCAGTAACTTGAGCTATTAAGGCCTTTAAACAACAACAAGGGCAGACTACTGGACTAATCATTTAAAACAAGAAATGCATTGTAAGATACTCTGACTGAAAGGGAGTTTAGTGACAAAAATCACTGTAGAGAAGATAGCTCATTTTTAAGGTCTGGGATACCAAGAGAACATCAGTGATTAGCATAAAAACACCACCTTTTCAGCACGACTGCTAGCTTGTGACTCAAATATAAAAGAATTGGGAACCAGCCACTTCTACAGAGGTTGTAAATTACAAATGAAGAGCAGGATGCAACACTAGGGTTAAGCTTAAATTATTTCAAGTCCAAGAAAACGTTTATGCTAACACTGAACTCATTTACAAAAGAAAATGTTGCAGGTGCATTCCTGTATAAATTTAGCTAGCGAGCTCAAAAGGAATGCAAGTGATTCTCTCCATCACACTTCATTAAAAAAGTGTAAGGATTTAAACCACATGTTAAGTCAGAAGCAATAGAGAAATCCAATAAAAACAGATAAATATCTTTGGGTACTGAAGGTATTACATACATATTACCAAAGGACACTGTGTTCCAAAAACCTCTTCCCACTTGGGACAGATGGAAGATTAAAAAAAGCAACTAGTCTTGTATGAGGATGTTCTGAAGAAAGGTACTGGACTGGATTGACAGAAATGTACAGGAGCTACAACTGCTTGTGATAGATGATCCTTCTATCTAACTTAATTAGTCACTGTATAGCCAGCTGCCTGGAGTCAACAAAGCTGCCAAGAGTTTCACCTGTGCCAGAGGGGAAAAGAGAAACTGGCACCCCCACATCCTTTACCTCTTCCCCCAAAAACTCTTTATTATTTGCCTTTATTTGCTATTGCTGTAATTAAAAACTTTCAGCTTTTCATCCTTCTCCAGACTTGGAAATCATCTATTGCTTTTCTCTTACAAGTGTAAAATTCTGAATTCCTCCTTCCTTCGAGATAAAAAGGGTGGTTATAAATCTGGCTAACAACTATAACCACAAAAACAGCCTGGCAGGAGTGTTACCCCTAGAATCTGGACATAAACATGTCCCTCTCTATCAGGTTAAGAGTTTTTTTCTTTATCCAGTGAAGAAACAATCAGATGCTGACAAAAAAATCAGGTCCCTCCAGTTCATCTCTCAGCATCCTTGGCTATTGTTAGCTACCATACATCAAAACTAGTTACAGAAAACGTTACAGCAAATTGGAAAATGAGACATTAGGAGTTGGTATTTTCTGCTAGTCACACACCCAAACTTTATGCATCTATAAATTGTTATTCCTGAACCAAAAGCTTTCAGATAAAATTACAAATATGCAGACCTTTAAAAACAGTGTTACTAGAACATCCAACTCCAAATGGAACTCTGTCCTCATGTCCCTACCCACGTTCACCTCGAGGCTAGAGATCCTCACACACAACTTAAGTTCTCCCTAAATGGATGCCAGTAGTTTGCTCTTTAAGGCTACATCTACACTAACATATTTTAGGAAGTCTTCCCCCACTGCACTACTGCCAATGCAGGTCTGCCACTACTACTGTAGACAGGGCTCAGGATGTCACCCAACTCTATATGGAAAATTTCCCAAGCTTCTAGTGTTTACTTTTAACTATACATTCTATTTGTGCTTTAAAGAGAAATGTATTCTCAAACTTGGCTACATCTCAATGAAGATGTGTGTCTGGGAATTTTCTTAGTTTTCATTAATGTGGAGAAAAAAGGGTGGGTTTGTGCTTATACAATTCTAAAACCAGGGTCCAGATTTAGCTTGCAACTTTACTGAAGCCTGCATTTTATCAATGGTGCTTGAATATGCCAAGCTTTGCATGTTATGCTTGTAGAACTCAACTTCTGTGAAAACTCAAATAAAGTCCATGGAGAAAGAGTGAAGTCTTAAAGGAAGTTTTTACCTGGCATGAGCAGGACCCCTCTTGGGATATCAGGGAAGTATGACCTTTGCAAAACCTTTGGAGCATGTGGCTGACATGAAAGTATTTTAGGCCTCACTGGCCTCTACTAGCACAGTTCTAAAATACTTGTGTGATGGGGTGTCTGCCCCACCATGGCTAGTAAAAGGTTAATACACCTGGGGAGGCCGCATGAAAAGCAGCCAATAGGAGAGGGTCTGTGAGGAGCGGCCAGTCAGGACCTGGCAAGTCCATAAAAAGAGCCTCTGGGCAGAGCAGGGTCAGTAGCTGCCTAGAGCTTGAGGAGGGAGGACTGTCTGGAGTAGGCTGCAACCCTGTAGCACCTTGGACAGAGCCATGCAGGAAGCAGCCTGGTGAGAAGAGAAGGAGCTCCGGATGGGTTGCTGTGATTAGGAAGGTGTTGTGGCCACGGGTAAGTGGCCAAGAGAAATGCAGTGACAGTAGTGGACAGGCCTGGGAAACACCCTCCCCCATGCTGGGGAAGTGGCAGGATAATTAACTGCAGTCGCCCCTGGGGAGGTGGCTGGACTAGGAGCTAAACTCCCTCGAAAGGGGGAGGGAACACAGATAGGGCCGAGCCACAAAGAGGACACTGCAGTTTCGGATGCTGTGAGAGGGGTTACTACTGGACTGCGGAGAAGGAGTGATGGTGTACAGACTACAGATGGGAGCGTCAGCCTTGAGCTAATCCCTAGAATGACTAGGAGGAGGTGCCAGTCTGGTGGCGAGTGACGTGCTCTGTGACAACTTGAATTATGATTTATTGACTCATGAAGGAGATTTCCATGTGTATTTTTTAACCTTTGATTAATGTACAATTTCAAGGAACGCAAACTGACAAATTAACCCTGATATGCATACCGTAATAATCAGATTGCTTCTTTCATAATATCCAAAACATGACAGATGCAGAAGTTAGCACTAATAATATAAAACATAATGTCGTAAATTGTCAGCTGCCCCTGAAACAAGTTAGAGGAACCTAGTGGCTGCTTTAGTTTTCACTGGCTTTGAATGCTACCTAAGGGCCATTACACCAGAAAGAACTGCTTGAATACACTGTGCTTTGGCTCCTCAAAATACCCTAGTTCTTCCAACACATCCCCTATGCTAGGTGCAGGAGGCACTGAGATAGGGTTGGCCATGCTGGATTTATGCCAACTGAGGATTCCTTCATACCAGTGGAATCCATTTAAAGCAGCTTTAAGGAGCAGCGTAACGGGATCTTAAGGTTGGTCAGAATCTGGTCCAGTATTTCTTAATATATTTTGCATCACAAAATGGATTAACGAAATTAAGAAATAGATGACAGTTCTGCTGCTAAAAGGAAGTGATTCTACAACAGTCAGGCCTACTAAACACAGAAGCAGAAGTCTTTCATTAGTTCCTGTTTTGGTTAATTGCAATGTTCACAAATTTCAGAGGAACAGCCGTGTTAGTCTGTATTCGCAAAAAGAAAAGGAGTACTTGTGGCACCTTAGAGACTAACCAATTTATTTGAGCATGAGCTTTCGTGAGCTACAGCTATAAAAAAGGAGCACTGTCAATCTCTATAGAAGCAGACATGAAATTCTAACACTACTGTAATTTAGCACCCCATACTTTCATTATCATATTAAAGATGTCCTTTAGGTTTAAGTGTTTTATTTCGAGGTCTCGTTCCCTGAATTAACTTCTGCAGGGACTGCAACCTTTTCTCCCTACAAATTTTGAGTCTAATTCCCGTAACACATTTTTCTCATAAATTCATAATAAAATGATAAACTACCCAATCATACTGCACAATTAACCCAAGGTCAAGTCAACTGTTAGATATAAGTCTTCAGTTTGTTCAGGTTAAACGTGTGGGGGCTTTCTCCAGAAAGCGTGGTTTTTTAAATTAATGTTAAGTATTTCTACACCCACAATTGCAATGCACTCATTTTAAAATGTGTAAAGCAGTCTGTCATTGTACACACAACCAGATATTGATCACTAGACATATGTATTTTTTGACGCCTTACTTCTGGTAATTTGTTGATTAACTGAAGTCAATGTGGCTCTTTGGGCCTGAATAGGTTTTAGAGGGTCAGGTGCTTTTTTTCAGGAGTCGGAGCATATTCATTTTATGATAAGCCCAGTCTGTGCCAGCCCACAGCTTAGATCTATAATTTCAGAGCAAAATATGAAATGGCCATTTTTTTGTTTGACTCCAGCCCGTGATGTATTCAGTTCTCAAGCATTATTTAACTACTGATATATATTTTGGACAGGTAAAAGTCAATGGAAGTATCAGCACTGAAATGATTCATTCTACAAGTTTATTCACATTTTAGACTTCATTTCACAGTGCAAAGCACTGTGGATGCATGCATCAGAAAGTCTTAAAATTTCTCTTTTGCTGCCTGAAATCACTAACCTCTCCTTCTTGAAAATGTTTCCTGAGTTGCTTCAGCATGAGAGTGAGCTTCTTTGACTGCACTCCACTATAGGCCAGCAGCATGCCACCAAACTGACGCTCAGTGATCCGCCCATTCACAGGGTCATGCCGTTCAAACTGGAAGAGAAAAAAGATTAAAACAAAACACTAATATTAAAGCAATTCTGCTTTAATAGGAAGCTGATATTTTATTCAGGAGGTGCACAACATTTACTGTAATGCTGAGGTAAGTGTGGTTGACAGTATTTCCAGAAGCAGCTCTAACTGTGCTCAACATCCCCTCTTCATCAATGTCAGCGATTATTTATTTATTTATTTTACACACACATCCCAGTACTTGGACAACCATTTAGGAATTTCCTTTATCACGATCAACTTGTTCCATTATACAGGGGGACAGCGTTTGTGGGATTGGTCCTCAACAAGCATTGATTACAACCCAGAATGGACATTTCCGAATGAAAATAAGCTAGATTTTCACTTAAAGGCGGTTCAGAAACGGTATAAAACTTGCAATCGGAGTGGGGACAGTGTCAGAAGACAGTTTGCCAGTACTAGAAAATACATGCCACACACTCCAGGCCACAGAAGTGTGACTGTGTCATGCAGAGAACAAGCTGCTGTCAGTAACCCCTTCTCAGGGTTCAGTCCTGCACAGATCCTTGGAAAACACAGTAAGCATGACTTAAAAAAAAATAAGTGGGGAGAAACATGGCTGGCAAGAGGTGTGGTGGTCAGTAAATCAGGAAGGGAAAAATCCCCAAGCGCTATGTAGGGATGGTCCGTGAGAGAAGACTCCTTCCCTTGCTCTTGATTTCCCCTGACAACTGCTAAGTTTTGGTAAACATTCATTTGACAGCTGCCAATCTCTAGCCTCTGAGAGGCTTACAAAGATTGTTGGGGGACACTTCCACCCCAATCTCCCCTCACAAGCCTTTCAGAGGGAGAAAAAAGTTGTTTTTTCATTGAATAGCCTTCTAAGTGATCAGGTTAGATGCTAACATCAATCGCAGCGAGTAAAAAGGCTAGAGACTTACTACAGCAAAAATAAATACAAAAACAAATCACAAATAGTCAAGGATCTAACATGACATTTGCAAACCATCAATCAGTCTGTTTACTCTGCTTATAGGTTGTACCTCTTCACCCACACCCATTGTTGGTGTTGTCCATTTAGATACTAAGCTCTTTGGACAGGGACTATTACTCCATTTGTGGATAGTGCCTAACACAAGGGGGCCTCGATCTCGGTTGCTCCCTAGGAATTATCATTTAAAAAAAAAAAGTGAAAACTCACTATCAACACTTTAACATCTTATATCAAGTTTGCCAGAGCTGATATAAGAAAGCCAACAGTTAACATCCCTTAACTACCTAGCCCCATAAACAACCACCCCCATCAAGCTCCTGTCTCCCTACAAGGTAACATAAATGGATAGCCTTGCAGCATGACCTGAAGGTCAACAAGCTTGAACTATTTTGGACAAAAGGATGTGTATGAGAGTTCTTTAGTTAAACTACCTAACAAGTAGGCGGCTTGTAAACAAGCCATTACAATTTGCATGGTAATGAAAAGAGCTGAGTAAATAATTCCAAGTAAATAATTTACTTGATCAATTTCACTGCTTTTCTTCTCCCTGTTCACAAACTGTATGGAGAGATTCAAATTTTATTTGAAATTCACAAAGTAGTTATTGGTCTGCAGCTTGACAGTAAGATATTGGTTGCTCAACATTCAAATCTGAACTGTTTGGATTGAACACATAGGCCATGCACTAGGATTCAGTTTCCTGATCAGATAAGAGAACTTTTGGGTTTCTGACGTGAATGACTCATGGATTATGAATTCCATAGGTTGTTCACTGTACTATTTAGTCAAAATTAACTATCATAGCAAAATTTCTGACCTTTGAAGATTCAATTTTTGGAAGGAAATGAAATAACGATGTCCAGTCCCAAGATGCAATATATATATATATATATATATATATATATATATATTAAAAAAAACCAACAAATTTGATCTTCAGTCTTTTTCTCTGAGCCTAAATGGTGTGTGCAGTATCTGGGAAGTCATGCAACCTCTTAGCTGTAGTTTGCTAAAGAATCCCACTTATTCTGTACCCAAAACACTGAACTCTTTCCGACTCATTTGGTATAGGAAAAACCCTATCAAAGTCAGAGGAAAAATACAGTCTTCATTAACATCAGAAGTAAGGAATTTCACCCACTTCTTTGGTGTTTCTGAGGAATATGGAAAAATGTTACAATACTTTGAGGCATAAATTTTACATCCAATGTAGTTTTTAAACCAGCAGCAAGACTTTCTAGTAGAGATTCTCCATTTGCCTCTCAATTAACCCCCAAACATGCAAATCAGTATTTTTACACGTTCTTTAAAGACCTCAATTTCGAGGGAGTGTGAGACACTATCTTTTATTAGCACACCTGAAAGGGCTTTAAAATTTTCAAGCTCAGTTTATAATTAGTGACCTTTCTCAGACAAGTTTAGAATAAGTGTAATGTACATTTTTCATTTCCCCTACCCCACTTTAACAACTTGATGAGGAATTTATTCATTTATCTTCATGCCCTTAACAGGATTAAGAACTGTACCCATACAAGTTCCATCGGTACCAGCTACATCTGGGTTGTACTTTTTTGCAACTGACCAGGAAAGAGAGACTGTACTACAATATTAGTTGTGATAGTACTTGAGCTCAGAAGGGAAACAAACACATCCCCTCCTCCCAACCCAACCTCTCCTCCGCATTCCTCCCCTCTCAAACGGTCTCACCTCAAGCTTTTTGGTGCCATTTTTTGGTAAGGTTAACCAAAGACCCAAAGCCAGCCTTTCACCAGGAACCACTTAACCATGGGTCCCCAGTAAGAAGTATTCGCATCAGTCAGCAAGGCCATCTTGCTCTAACCCCCTTTTTAGGATATGATCCTCAAGTATTTCATTTGCTCAAGGCTAATTACCATATCGTGATCGCAGACATTCCCCCTTTTCCCCTGCCATGCTAGGATCTCCATCTCTCCTTAATGAGATGTGCCTTAGTAGCAGAGAGACTACTCAATACTCAAATATACTGGATAGATTAAAGACAACGCTATAATTTTCACTCAATTTCAATTGATTTGTCGGTTCTACGACAGTCCTATTGAGAGTGAATGACAGCAAGGGTACATGCAAGAAGTGGGATGATTTTAAAAATATTTGTCAAGTTACACTATCGGAAATCCAAATATAGACACAAACAGTGTCACTTTAAAATGTGTTAGCTGGTTGTGGTCAACTTAGCCTAGACACTTAGCCCAGATTTTTTGGCACTGCAGAGAGCAAAGATTTTGGAGATAGAAAAATCATAGGAGCTTTTACAACTTCATCAACTATCAATGAAATGGGATAAAACAGGATGGAAAAGCACTTACGGAATCAAAGTCTAACCTTCATTGCTGGCACCTAATAAAATTAACACAGTCTTTAAAGTACAAGGATCTCATCAGTTCGTAACTGGTGGATCCCAAAAATATATCAGCATAATTTGACTGCTGGTGCCCATAATCCTGCAAAAATTTGTCAAAAATGAAATAAATGCAGCATTATGAGTTGAATGACTCAAACAAGAGGCAGAGGAGTATTTAGTACAAAAACAATTCCCCTATCCTATTGCTATGCCCCAGCCTGTACCAAACTGTGAAGTTATAACCACAATGGTAGTGTATTGGAGAATAAGTCACAGGTGAGGTAAAAAATAGGGTTTGTTTTTTTTTACATTTTATTTACAAAAAGAAAAGGAGTACTTGTGGCACCTTAGAGACTAACCAATTTAGTCTCTAAGGTGCCACAAGTACTCCTTTTCCTTTTGCGAATACAGACTAACACGGCTGCTTCTCTGAAACCTGTCATTTTATTTACAGTATACTTTTGGATTTTTTTTTAAACTATCATCCTTTTTCTTTTTTTAATACAAAGACCACTTCAGAGAAATACCTCTTGCCTTTAAGAAGTAAAATAATATATTCAAGGGGGAGTGTTAGGAATACAGCTCATCATTATCCCTCATTATGGACCCAAACTTGGTTCCCATTTTTAATTTGTATAAATCATCAGCAATGATCAGTCATAAAACTTTAGATAAAGTTATTCATGTGAAAGTATTAATATTTTTGTTTTTCTTCCATATTGTACCTTTAAAATGAATGTCCCTTACCTATTCTTGACAAACTGATTTAATACCCCCACATCCACCAGTTAATTACTGTACCTGTAGCAACTCTTACTGCGTAAGTTAACAGAAATATTCACCAACACATCTTCATGCTGCTTTTAAATACTGACTGAGTTTCCAAAACTAACAGAATCATTTAAAGCTTGGAATGAGAAAAGTAAGCACTTTCTCTTAGTTTTAATCCATGCAACAATGAAGTGATGTCAAGAAAGTAGTTATTTTTCCAAACTCTCACTCATCTGGTACAAGTTATATTTAAATTGCTTATGAAAGGGATATACAGTATAAAATATCTAAAAAGATAAAGAATGAGAAAAATGAAACAAAAGGATAAGGAGAAAAAAAGGAAATAAGTATATACAAATGCCCGTGATCTGTTGCTAATCACAACAGATCATACATGGGACTTAAAAGAAAGCAGAGTTGCTACAGGTAGTACCACAATGTGATGCAGAGAAAACTTTACTGAAGATCAGAATGTTCTCCATTGTCCTTTATGCTTCAGAGGAAGACAACAGAAAAAAAAAATCAAACCCTAGAATACACCTGGCCAATTGTGCATTGGGGGAAAAAAATCCTTCCTGACCACTACAGATGATTAATGTATGCCATGAAGCTTTGACTGTAGTCATTATCTTAATGCAGAGCTGCAACAGTTATGAACAGGTTGAGGGCAATGCTGAGCTACTTCTTTCCTCCATGGCCCATGAAAGAAGGGAAGAAACAGGTGTATTCACTGATTCAGACACTCCAAAGCCAGAAGGGACCACCACAACCAACCAGCCTGACCCCACACATGTACAAGGCCATAGAATTTGTCCTAGAAGCACCATTAAAGCATACAGAATCATACAAACATATGGCTTGAAGGGACCTTGAGAA